ATTAGAAAACCAAATTATATATTTTTAAAAAATCAACTGAATTTAGCACCTCTAACGATCAAAAATTTCTGACATGATATCAAATTCGATTAATATTCACAACAATACCACTCAAACTTTTTATTAACATATTAGAAAAAAAGAAACCTAGTGATACAGTATGAAAAACAAACTGAATTTAGTACCTCTAACCATCAAAAAAATATTTGACAGGATACTACGCTCGGTTCTATTCACGAAAATACCACTTAAATCTCCTACTAACATATTAATTATAAACTAAATGGGGTACCGTGAAAAAAAATCAAATTTAACACCTATAACGATCAAAAATTTTTAACAGGACATGAAACTCGGTTAATATTTATAAATATACCACTTAAAATTTTTACTAACATATTAATCAAGAACAAAGTGTTGTACCGTGTAAAAAAAATAGAATTTAACACCTCTAACAATCAAAAAAGTTCGACAAAATTACCAAACTCAATTAGTATGCACAAATATACCACAATCTACACATATAATACAGATAAAGAAAATAAAACTAACCTCGGAGCGAATGGTGCGGCTGGTTTTGACGCCCTCGAAAACGTAGGTGAGAACTCCTAGTACAAAAACAATAGAAAATAATTAGTTTTGTTGTCTATAAATCTTTATAAAAATAATGAGACAAAATTTGAAACCAAGGTTTTAGGCCAAAGAGCTTAATCTAGTAAAATTAATACAAGAACCTCCAAAATGTGAAACAAAAGACACAAAAACAGAGCATAAACATAGCACAAATTCTAAAACAAACCAACAAAGGCAATGATAAAATCTATATGCTTTCGTCAAACACTTTAATTGCAAGATTCCTGTGTAAGAAATCTTCAGGGAGAGAGAGAGAGAGGAAGCTAGCCTCGAAATTGAACATTTTTATTTGGAGAATGATTAATTAGAGAGAGATTTTACAGAAAATAGATAGAGTTTACTCAATATTGGAAAAAACTGTTTTATTTGTTGCAGCTGGGCTTTATATAGAGAACTAGAATTTGAACGTTGAGTGTTGCTATCTATCCGTTATGCGTCCAATCATTATTACTGTGCTTTTTCTT